GTTGCGTGTCTGAGACCATTTCATATTTCCACCTGCCTGTGAGTACTTGTTCATTTTTCTCGTGCGATGCGTTTCAAGAGCTCTTTGGGGACTATGACACGGTCCTTCCTTCGCGAAGTGTCAGGTTTGATTTCTGCCAGGTGTCCTCTGTGTGTGCAGTTTCTGGCCTTCCGTCTTGTGCTCAGAACGACCTTTTCTCCAGGATCGGGGCTCTGTCTGATTGTTTTCCAGGGGTGCTTTTGCTTTCGTTTTTTTAGAGGGAGGCGTGGCCTCCCTGCAGCGTGTTGGGGTGAACGGAGTGAGATTGGGGGGTATGTGGAGGCTCGCAGCTGGTTGGTACCCATTGACCCACAATTTCCCTGTCTGACGGTCCGATCTAAACCACTCAGAAAGCCCAGTCCTTTTTTTTGCGCCCACCCCACCCCACCCCTCCAAGGCCCAGTCTTTTGAGAGAGAGGACTCTCCTGATGGAATGATGGGAGAAACTGAAGCCTGACGTCAGAGGCAGAGTTGCCAACAGATTCTCTCATTTCGTGATGCGAGCGTTTAAGACACCAGAAGATTTGAACTCAGTAAGCAGGCCCGATCCAGTCCTCCCATCTAGAACCTGGGACCTCGCCTTCTCTTCCAGCCCATGGGGAACATGTACAGGCGTGACCACACATTGACCCCAAAGCAAATCTCCTTAAATATCAAGGATTCATGTCATCTAAGCTCTGTCGTCTGTCCACATTGTAATTAAAAACTAGACATCAGTAGCTGGAAAGACACCCCCCCTCCCGTCCCTAGTCTGATGTAAATACAAAGACGCTTCTAAGTGACATGTGGGCTCACGAAGAGAAGACTGGAAACCTTATGAAAATGCTGGTACCCAAACCAGGGGGGCTGGCGTTCAGCCTTCCTAGTGGCGCACAGGGAGCCGAGATTACCAGTGAGGGGCTTCGCTTGGAAACTTGGGATTGCCTGGCCACAGGCTTAGATAATCAGGTCTTTTTTCTCTTTTCCTTTTTAAAATCATTTTATTGGGGGCTCTTACAGCTCTTACCACAATTCATACATCCATACATCCATCCATTGTGTAAAGCACATTTGTACATTCGTTGCCCTCGTCATTCTCAAAACATTTGCTCTCCACTTAAGCCCCTGGCATCA